CCCCCCCCCCCCCCAACCCTTTTCTTTAGGCTGCTGGTCTCCTATGAATGCAGAATGTGGGCCTTGCTCCACCACTCGTCAAAACGCCGACATTATGAATGTCTGAGGACGGGCAGGGAGTCCAGATACATCCGCAACGTCGACGTTTGGAGAGTAGTGCGGCGAGGCCGTATGGAGGTTTGGTACCATCATGCCCATCTTGTAGAAAACCAAGAGCACAAAGCTTTCCAACGTGGAGCGGAGGAATGGTTGATCAGCTTGGACGGGCGATGTTTGCGGCTGCAGTCGATTGTGACGGCACTGTCTTCAGAGGTCGAAGGGGGGGGACCTCTCTGTCTCAGTGGTTGGAAGGCTGGATCAGGACATGTAGGAGATCATGTGGGAGCTGGAGGAGGAGCCGGATCCCCGGCTCGAAGAGTACATCGATTGGACAGGGGTGGATGATAAGATGGGGGCCTGAAAAGCACTTTCTACAAAAGGTCGCAACCTGCGCAATCTGCTGGAGGATCGGCAGGAGATGGGTGAGATGAGCGAGAAGGTTGCAGATTGCAAGTGGATCACGACGGCGGGCGGGAACGAAACGAAAGACGAGTAGACAGCGACGAAGGTGACAATGGTGACATCAACAACCACCACAATACCAATATCAGCAATATCGGCAGCAATAACAACAAGAACAACAAATGTGGCAGCGCCATCATCACCAACAATGGCGGCAACATCGGCGGCGGTGACGGCGTCCGCAGCGGCGATGATGACAACATCAACAGTTGCGACATCAACAACAACAGCAACCGATAACAACATCATCACCAACGATGACAAGGGGGTGGGGAGTGAAAATCATGATACGGCAGCGAGGCCAGCAACAACAACAACAATATCAGCAACAACAACAACAACAACATAGTCAAAGATGACGTCAACAGCAATAACAACCAAAACAGCACAAAGGTGTTATTTTCAACAACGGTGGAGATACCAGTCCCCTCGCAGCTGCGGTTTTGATGGTGACGAGTGAGACAGGAATAACAGCAACAACAACATCGATAATGACAACAAAAACGGCGAAGTCAACATCAATGACACCGAGGGTGGCGGCGATGGTAACAACAGTGCAGGCTGTGTATATCGTGCCCGACTTCTCCCCCCCTATGTAATGGTTTTTTTTCCCCGCATAAATCAAATCGCTCCCCCCCATCCTCTGGAGGGTGGGGGTGGGTTAGACAACTGGACGCTGCGTAATTAGGGTTGGCCGGTCCGGCGGTCCTCCAACGCTAATTATTGTATGTGTTGTTAGGTTTGTTGCGAACCTGGCTGGAGGTAAATTCTTCCCTGGTTGAGGAAAGCAATCAATGCCTCCTGCCGTGTGGAGAGATGGTGTGGATATGATGGTAGGGGCTTTCTGCCCCACATACATGGCCACACTAGGTCGAAAACTCAAATTGAATAGTGCTGCTAAGGTTTTCAAATGTTTCTCTTTTCCACTTTCCATTATGCATGGCCGGGGCTTTCAGCCACATACGCTAATACGGCTTTTGTACGCTAATACGGCTTTTGTGGATCATATAGGAGCACTTACTCAGGACTGGACACGTGGCATGGCCATGTCACACAATCATTTCATATCATTGTACAGGGACGCTGGACCCGATTTCCAGCAGGTGACGCTCGCCACCAATAGATGGAGTCAAACGCCGGGATCCACTTGACGGGGCTGCTCTTATCACCTCGTCAAGTGGCCTTCCTGCGACTGAAGTTTTCTCAACACAAAAAAAAAGAAAAAGAAAAAAAGACTACGAAGCTTTCCTAGTGTGCTCAAAATGTGACTGGCCCTGCGAAACAGCCACATAGAGACGTGCTGGAGATACTTGACAGCTCGATTGCCCGGATGCGGTCACGTTTCACATGTGGACGTCATGGTGGGGCAATTGCAGAAAATGCCACTATTTTCAGCGTTGCACGACAGAAATACCCGTTTTGATTGTGATCCTACTTTCATGGAATTTCAGAAATACTCTTTCTGATCACAACTATAGCCCTTTCTCTGACTGACTTCGCTTTGAGGGTGTATTTGCGAGGAAGCTAGGAAAGGTTTTTTTCTTTTAAACCACCAGTACCTCGCCCAGCTTGAAAAAGGCGACGTGGCCGTTAACGCGCCGCGTCGGGTGGGTTGCCCACCACCATTGGACGACCGGTAATCCCAAAAAAACGGGCGTAAAAAAAATTAAAAACGTTGACGAAAATGAGAAGAGACGAACGAAAAGAAAACGGGCGTGGCAGGGGGGGCACAGAGAGAGAGAGAGAGAGAGAGAGAGAGAGAGAGAGAGAGAGAGAGGGCGTCAGAGAGTGTCTATAATAATTAGTTAATAAAATTAATAATAACAATACAAATTATACAATATATGATATGTCCCTTTTGTAATATAGTATAAATATATATATATATCTATATATATTTCAACTTCAATAAAAATACACACTACAGAGAGAGAGAGAGAGAGGGCGCGAAAGTGTAGTGTGTATTTTTATTGAAGTTGAAATATATATATCGTCAAATAGAACTGCCCGGTAAACCGTAGGCAGAGAGGGAGAAGAGGACAACAAACGAGGGGCTGTGACAAACTGTTTCG